CTCTTCATTGGTCTCTGTTTTCTCCCACTGGTGTTTACTGTGTCGTTTCAAATTGCTGTTCAGCCTTTTACAGCACCTAGTAGCTGCCAAGACGTAACTGTTCCAGCACTGGGTGACCAGCCCAGGGTGTCCTCACCCCTGCAGCCTCTCTCACCTGATGTCAGGGCACCACCCAGCCGTCCAGCAGGTGTGCAGGCACCACGTGAGCCACCCTCCACATCAGCTAGTTCTGTTAGTATAGTTTTGGGATCGTTTGAAAAATTGTTCTGGAATGATTCTTTAGCCGTTTAGACTCGTTATTGTACTCACATCAGTCATCGAGAAATGGAAAACATTTGCTTGTTCTAATGTCTGTGGAGGGTTGGAGTGGCCCCAGCAGATGCCTCCAGGTAGGGAGATTGGAACACCCTAATGGAGAAGGTGTGTGCAAGAGATTGGGAACTATTTGTTTGCTTGGCTCTTAATAACGACCGCTCAGACATCAGGCGTTAGAAGTATCGGTGAAGCTGGGCTGACTGCAGGCTGACTAATCATAATTGGTATTGTCTTTAGATACGTGATGGGATGTTCTCCCAGCACCTGGAACAAGACCTCCCCACTCTGTTGGCGGTGTCCATCTGTCTCAGGCAGGATGATGATTCTTGTGGAAGGAAGGCCAAGAGAAAACGTTACGTTTTTTCAGTCTAGTCTTTGCTTCTGAGAATTTTTAAGATCACAAACTTGCAAAACAGGCTTTGAAAGAGACAGAACTTTCTCAATGCCGAATGCACTGTCTTTGTATTTCCAGGGGCAAATCAGGCTGGCTCGTAGATTGTGAATGACAAGGGCATAAACTTTCACACTGACGAGCTTTTGAAAAATGTAAAACACAATTACTTTAGGCCAGAGTGTAAGGGAGCCCCTTGAAACAGGAAAGGAAAAGAGAAAAGTTCCTTCTCCCGGCCTGGGAAGAGGAAGCAGTGGCTGGAGGGAGCCGCCCTGGCTGGTCCCCCCCCCCACCCCCCACCCACCGCTGCCCAGTCCGAGAGCTCTGGGGAGGGGGCATCCTGTGGGCGGGGAGCAGAGAGCCTACAGATTTCTGACGCCGTCTTCCCAGGGCCTTTCCCAGACACACTAGGTCAGCTGTCACACTCGGTTCTGGCCTGCAGTTCTAGGTTCAGTGTGTTCTGTCCTGGGGTCGCACCTGCTCTCCACCCACAGCCAATAGGAAAGGCTTAGCATGAAGGCTTCTCTTGTTGAAAACCACATTGTTTGCTGCCTTTTTTAGACATTGAATGTGCTGATTGTTATCTCGAGGAATTGTTTTAAAAGCCACTTTCAGACCAGTGATTCCCACACAGGGCTCATCTTGGACCTGTGGGTTAAGACTGCTCAGCCCAGGAGGGAGGTCATTTATTTCTTTGTCAATCTGGCTCCCTCTGGTGGTCAGTTCACAGATTTTAGAAGGTTCTAGTGTTCTTTAAAACCCCTTTTAAAACACAAAGCAGTCACTTTTCTTAGAAGATTTAGGGGGAAGTGACTGAAATTAAGAGAATATGTATATTTTTAGCAAATAAGATCCTCGACCTCCCCCTGGACCCTCCCTGTGGGACCCTGGTGCTCACCTGCATGTCGAGGACTTGGCCCATATGTGGGCAGGGACTTTGCTCTGTGTGGCCCCCATTTCTCAGTCCCGCTGCACCTCAGAAGCACCGGCCACTCTCCCCGTCTCCATGCCCCCCTTTCCAGTTAACAAGGAGATGGAGCCTAGCCCTAGTGGGTGGTTTTTTTAATTTTTTAAAATTGAAGTATAGTTGCTTTACAATGCTGTAAACAGTAAGAAACTGCTCTGACCCCAGCCCTCAGAGCTTTTTAAAATACTGAGGCTGGAAAAAAGAAAAAGAATAGAACACCACAGCTATTCACAGCAGCACTGTTTACAACAGCCAAGACATGGAAGCAACCTAAATGTCCATCAACAGGGGACTGGATAAAGAAGCTGTGGTGTATTTATACAATGGAATCTAAGTGCAGTGAGCCAGAAAGAGAAAGATAAATACCATATGATATTGCTTATATGTGGAATCTGAAAAAAAGGACACAAATGAACTTATCTACAAAACAGAGACAGACTCACAGACAGAGAACAAACATTTGGCTACCAGAGGGGAAAGGGATAAACTGGGAATTTGAAATTTGCACCTCCTGGGGAGTGATGGAAATGTTAGGTATCTTGATTGTGGTGGTGGTTTCAGGGGTGTATAGACCTATCAAAAATTCATGAAAGTGTGCATCTGAAATATGTGTACTTTATTGTACAGGAACCAGACCACAATGAAAGTGTTAAAATAAAAATTTATTTGGCTCCGCACCAGAAACCAGAGCTCTCATCCCCTCTCCTCCCGGCCACCTGTGACGACCAGGAGGGGACCACACGCATGTCTGGCTGGTGAGGCTGGGGGAGTGGGCTGCCAGGGGTCTTCTGTGCACACCCTCCCTGCCCTGCAAACCACACAAGAGGAGCTGCAGCCGGGCAGGAGGGCCGGGGCCAGGTCACACGGGAGCAGAGGCCAAGAGTCCGGCTGCGTCACCCCCTCCTCCGCCCTGCTCCTTAGTGTCACGTGGCCAGGGAGAAGGGGCCCCAGTAATCAGATGGAATCTCCTTCCTGGAAACAACCACCTCCTTAGAGCAGGGCACACGCACGTGCACACACTCTGTCCTTTAAACTAAAGCAACCCGGGTAGGTCCTAATTCGCCCCCCCACCCCAGCTCCAGGCCTCAAGCTCCTTGGAGGGGCACAGGCTCTGCAACCCGTCTGGACACCTGCCCCAGCCCAGCCTCCTGCAGCCGGCCCCCAGCGCTGACCACCTCGCCTCAGGTGCGTCCTGTCTGCTGGCTGGTGTCTCCCTCTGCGTCCACACCCCAGGTGCGCATGCCGCGGCCACTGACTGCCCAGCTGCTCAGCTGCAGGAGAGGACGAGTCAGTGAATGAATGTGTGAGTTCGAGGCACCCTCTTCCTTCACCTGAAACTTGGGGTTCCTTCCCTCCTTTCTTGCTGGCCTTTCGTCTCTCTTCTCTGTAGGAGACAAGGCAAAAGCTGAGATGAAAGACTTCAAAGCCCAGACCCTGATGGAGGAGTGCTTCTAAAGAGAGCCCTGCAAGGCAGGGGTTACAGGTGAGAAGAGGAGGAGGGCGTGGGGGGCCCCCCAGGTCTGGCCCTCATCCACAGGGACCAGCTCCATGGCCAACACGGGGTCAGGAGTCAGCGGAGAACCCGCACTCGGGGGCGCTGAGCAGATTCATGCGCGAAGGTGCTGGAGCCTCTCACCGGCAGGG